AATATGAACTTTCATTCGTTATTTTTTATCTTAAGGGACTTAGATAATCAGTTCTCTAACACTTGTCGATTTTTATATACTTTCCTCCATTTTATCAATAACCAAAATATAATAAATATCGATAAAATTTATTATATTTTTATGGAGAGTGTAAAATCGAATCGTTTGCATTGCAGTCCTGCAGCAACCCGACTCGACGAGCCCGACGATCTCGGACCTATCGTTCCCTGCGAAACAGGAGACGAACCAAGAATGCAAAGAAGAGGAATCGCAGGATTTCGAGGACGAACAGCAACCAAATGAGACGCAGCCTCACGAGACGGAGCACAAGAAACGTAAAAGACGCGTACTCTTCTCAAAGGCACAGACGTTCGAACTCGAGAGACGGTTTCGTCAACAGAGATACCTTAGCGCACCTGAGAGAGAACACCTAGCTTCCATTATACGCCTGACGCCGACCCAAGTAAAAATTTGGTTCCAAAACCACAGGTACAAAACGAAAAGGGCGGCGTCAGAGCGGGTGGAAGCTAGCGGAAGTGGATGTTCGCCAAGAAGAGTCGCGGTACCGTTATTAATCAAAGACGGAAAACCGTGCCAATCGAAATTGATGGAACCAGCCGCGTATCCGGCCACTAGTCAAGTGCCCATGCCGCCGTACATGCAGAAACCGTACTGGTGGTAAGGGACGAATTATTGAATCATCGGTCATAGTGATTTCCAAGTGGGGTTGTGAAACTTTTTGTGAACGATAAATACAAGTCGTGAATACTTGCCAGTAAGAGATTCGTTTAAAGGTGAAGAGAGAAGACTACGATCATTGCAACTGGGAATTGAAGAGAAAGCCAATGGAAAATACAGAATGGAGTTTGAGAGTTCTTGTTGAGAAAGCCAATGGAAAATACAGAATGGAGTTTTCATCGTTTGTGAACGCGACGATGATAAGTGGAACTTATTTCGTTACCAGTGAACAACTCTGGAAATCCAAAGTGCAAAATTCTTCCTATTTACAATAAGGATCGTACGTAGATATCCTTCTTGTTGTTATTAGAATTAAAACCAAGTATTGCCAATCGAAACTGTCGATAAATAATTGAAAGTGAGAATTGAACTTTTGTGCAAAGTGTCGCTCGAGTGAAATCGATCGGACAGTGTTACGTTTCCTCGATTGCGACGAGGAGAAACCAAAGATATGTAGTTTACAGTTGACGAACGGGGAGTGTAAATAAGAATTATAAATGGAAATGTCCCGATTTGTGTTCACGACAAAATGTCTGCTCACGTATTTTTTCTATAATTCTACGTTATTCGAAATTTATAGAAGAATAGTGAGTAGAAATGTTGACGCGAAGAGAAATTGGTACATGTAGCTTATACAGTTTTCGAGATTCATAGAATCGTATCGAACGAAATTAGGAATTTGGCAAGAAAAAAATGATAGTAAAATAAAATTAGATAAGTGGACGAAATACGTAAGAATCGTTACGTAGATATCGAGCCTGTTCGTTTTATTTTCACGTTATAAAAAAAAAAAACTATAAGCTCGTATCTGTAACGTGTGTGTCTCTTAAATTCGTACTTAAGGAACGTTCGCGATTCTCGTTGCTCGCAGGACGTTTCGACGTAAGATCCACTGCAAAATCGCACCGAGATCGCTTATGTAACTCGAACACACCACTTCCTATCAATCTAATCGCGATAACGAGATAATGTAAGATAGAGAACAATTTTTTCCCTTCAAGTATCATTCTTTGCACGAAAGAACGAACTTGGCATCTTTACGAAAACGTTAGAATCGATAAATCATTCGATGATTTATTATTAAATAGACAGCCATGTTTCAGTGCAGACGATTGTTTTATAAAACAGAGAAAACTAACATAGACTATAAACTCTTATGCAAAACAAAACATTTATCACAGCCAAAAATAGACATAAGCATTGGAAGGTGCATTCATTTCTATACATTTTCGTAACGTCCCCATTTTCAATTCTTTTATACATAAAAATCCACGATCTAAACTTAAACTGTATAGAGAAAAGATCCCAGATTATACCATCTAATTACGTCGATTGTATATATGTACATTGTGTATAATACATACTAGTCTAATATAACAGATCACGATCTTAGCTTATAAGATCGTGTAACAGATATTTAATAAAATCGAACCCTCGTAAACAACTCGACAGCCTCGTTTTCTTTGCCAACGTCTTCCTGCCTATCCTAATGTAATATACATTCCCAATATCGATATTACGTATTTTGTTGCCAGAGATAAACGATCGAATTAGATAAGAACACGTTAATTGCTATTTCAATTACGCAGATACCGATGATCGAGTCAATAAGCAGAACCTTTTTCTTAGAAACGTAATATCAGCCGATCGATACTTCTCCGCGTTGAAATTCGATATGAATTACGTTTATAAAGTACGAATAAAAATAGCGAGAATTAAGAATAATATATTTACAACCGAGACAATGTACACTCGAAAACGGATAACTTCCCCTGTTTCGCCGCCCGTTCCTTTTTATTTCTCTCGTCGACTTCCCTTTTTCGGGACACGCCGGAACCCGGCGTAGCTTGAGTGACAAGCTTCCGGTTTCCGTTTCCGAGCAGCCATCTTGTTACCGGTTTAGATTTCCTGAGGGCATCCCGAACTTCGATGGGGAAAACTTTTCATCTTTCCATTTACGACGTAATTACAAACGAATACCACTTGAAATTTGATACAACAGGGAATCGACAGAAAATCGTTCAACTTTTTCCGAATATCAAACACAGAATTAATTGTTTCGTTTTTTTTTATTTATAATCAAAATTTATGAATTCGTCCTTCGAAACGTCGATGTAATTATTTTGTACGGTAGCTGATCGCGATAATTCCGATAGGGAATCGATCGATCTCCGTGATGAAATGACACGCCACCCGATTAGCCACACTGATTGCCAATTGATAATTCCCATACGTGAAAAAAGAGAAACATCGAACGATAACGAGGCCGTGTACATAAATGTAATTTATAAAATTATTTCATCCGTCGATTATCAGAAAATTAATAGATTGATCAAACAATCGTTTAACTCGGTTGTATCGGACGGTTCGAGCAACTATTCGTGTGCAGTAGCAATTGATATCTCCAGTGTCCCTGTTTCCCCTTACCACGAGTTATCTTTCCCGTAACGAGAGAGATGACGTTGCGAGGTAAATGGAGTGGACAGCGGGCAGCATATGCTTTGTGCCTCTGCTCGTACAAAACGTGCGCCACCCCAGGACCGCC